CGCGGCGGCCTCCCTGCGCCGGGGCTCCCTGGCTCCGGCTCCAGGAGCCATCTGAAGCTCCGCAACCACCTTCTTCTCACCGCGCTTCCTCCGGCCGGGGCACAGCGCGGCTTCGCGGGCCTCGCTCTCCGTGTAGTCCCCTCCCACGTGGACGCAGCTCGCCGCCCGAGCGCCTGGAGTGTTCAAACGGGAACCCGGGGCCAGAAGCGCTGCCCGGGGAGACGCCCTGGCTCACCCACCGAGCGGGCTGGGGGGATGGCGCCCGGGACTTTCTTTGCGCCTTCGTTAGCAGTGCTGTCTCCCACTGAGGCTGGCTGTTGGCTTTTCAGGTTTCATGTAAAGACACAACTCCCGTGCAGGTGTAACAGGTCTGTCAGTCCAGTTGCCCGCCAAACCCCTCGGCCCCGTACTGCTGAGTTCACTGGTGGCATTAGTTGCAGCCCGACGTGTGGCTTTTCCCAATCAGATGCCTCTGAGCTGCAAGAATCTGTGTCCTGGGGGCTGGGAAGGTGACTCCGTGGTTGAGTGCTTGCCTTACCTGCATGAGGCCCTGGGTTCGATTCCTCAGCACCACATAAGCAGGAAAAAAAGCCGGAAGTGGCGCTGTGGCTCAAGTAGTAGAGAGCTAGCCTTGAGCTGAAGAGCTGAGGGACAGCGCCCAGGCCCAGAGTTCAGACCCCACGACTTCCCCACTCACCCAGCCCCCAACCCCCCCCCAAAAAAAAGAATCCGTGGCCTGTTCTGGCATCTGGGTATCAAGTTCCTCCTGGGTCACCCTTCCCACATAGGCGGTGATCCAAACGTTCATCTTTGCAAAGGATATAAATTTGCATCAAACTTGGAAAGCTTTAATCCTTAAAAAAAATGCATCAGAATCTATAAACATTTCTGGGCCAAAAAGAAGAAGGAAAAAAAATAGATGAAAGCCCCAAATTACCAGGATATCTTGGAATGAGTTATTCCAAGAGGGCTAAGAACTGTTGGAGAATCAATCTGATTTTTAAATTTCAGCTTCCCCTTTTACTAGCAGCGACTTTGGCCTGATTTTCTTTACTTTTCTGTAAGGGGGATAATACTAGCAACTAGGGTTGCTTGGAATTAATACACCCATAGACCTTAAAGCTGGGAAGTCTGAGATCTAATGATCATAGATCTAAGCCAGCCAGGAAAGACAAGGCAGGCAAATCCTGGAGACGCTTATTTCCAACCAGCTGAGAGCCCAAACCATAGATATGAGTTCAGTAGTGGAGATATAGCCAGTGAGCAAAAAAAGCCAACTGATAGAATGAGGCCTGGAGTTCAAGCCTCAGTACTGGCACAAAAATAGAAAGCAAAAAAGAAGAAAAGCTGAATTAAGTTTGTGGGGATTTTTTTGTTGTTGTTCTATTTTGTTGTGTTAAGGAGCAGAAGGTCTCACCAGCTCACGCTGGTCCTGAACTCCTGAACTCAGTCAATCCTCCTACCTCAACCTCCGGATGCCTGGGACTTTCTAGACACTTACCACTACATCCAACTGCCAAGAATTCATTGATGTTATTAAACTGCTATTTGCTTAAATAGGAGTAAAATGGGCCAGAGTTTAACTTCTTTTCTTCATAGTAGAGTTTTAAAAGTGAAGTAACAAAAGGATGCCCCAGATCAGGAAACAATAAAGGCTGAAAAAACAGGACTGACAGAAATATGACTAATTCCCACACTGGATGAAGACTAAAGGCAAAGATGTTAGTTTATTGAATTATTATCATTTTGGTATCTGCATACTTGGTTCAACTTCAACAAACCTTTATCAGCTCCAATGGAATACTAGGTACCATGCATGCTAGGTCAGAAAGGTGAATAACACTGTTTCCTTACCATGGCCAGGAGAGCTCTTAGAAGGGGAAATAGACCTTTCCACAGCCCTCTAGAGTTGAATCCCAGGTGCTCCTGCCTCAACATGTATTCTCCATGCCCTTTACAACTATATTCAGGAAGTCTCCCCCCACCCCTCATAAATGTTAGCCAGTTTTCATAATCACACTGTCCAAGACAGGTAGGATCACTCTTGGAAAAGACTTTGAGACATTGTAGCTACTCTAGCCTCTGCTGATTGAGCATCTTGATAATCCAATCACTGCTGCTGCCCCTTAGTTTTTACCACCAATTTATGTGAGAGACATAATTTGGCGAAACAGAATCCTTGGCACAATGACAATGTTACAGTTGAAGTTTACTCAATTACTTCCATGAGGCCTCATAAAATTTCATAGGACTATGTGTGTTATAGTATGGGCTCCTCATTCCAACTTCCTGGTACCACTTTGTTACTTTGCCTGTGTTTTCTCAAACCTTTCTATGATTTGAGGCCTGGAAAAAATTGGCTTCTGCTCCTCTCTCCTACCCTAGCCTGTGTCTCACCAGGTTAACCTCACCAGCTGCTAGACCCCATGGCATTGGCTCAGATACACACACACACACACACACACACACACACACACACACACACACACACATACACAGAGCAGGCTCTTGCCTCAAGATCTCTCTCTCTCTCTCTCTCTCTCTCTAGCTCTCTCTCCCTCTTCCCCCTCCCAACTTTGCTAATTGAGACACTCCTCCTCCCTGACCTCCCCCTTGGAAGGTTGTCCCACCTCTTAGAGATTCTACTACTTCCCAATAAAGGATCAAGCTCACAAGTTGATCTTTGGAAGACACAAGAACAAAATTACTGGTAACCCACCCCTATCTCTACTTCTCTATTATCAGTTTCTTTTTGTCTGTCTCAAAAATACAAAAGATTTTCATTTATAACAAGGAACTGAATTCTTTGTGTGTATGAGAGATTGCCAGTGTGCCCCAGGCAAGCCTTAAGATGACCTCAGCACAGTGGATACCCTGTTTGTAGCCCTCAGAAATCCTGGGAAGGTGGCTCAGTGGTAGAGCGCTTGCCTTGCATGCCTGAGGCCCTGGGTTTGATTCCTTAGCACCACATAAGCAAAAAGAAAAAAGCCAAAAGTGGCACTGTGGCTCAAGTGGTAGAGTGCTAGCTTTGAGTTGAAGAGCTGAGGGACAGCACCCAGGCCCAGAGTTCAGGCAGTGGCTTTGTGGCTCAAGTGGTAGAGCGCTAGCTTTGAGCTGAAGAGCGGAAGGACAGCACCCAGGCCCAGAGTTCAGGCCCCACGACCGGACCCCCCCCCAAAAAAAAAATCCTGAGCTAGAGCTACTTCTAGATTATTCCCCCAAAGAATCAGAGATAATGTTTAGAGTATTATGATGCCACTAACAAA